TTTTTTTTTCGGTAAGTGATAAACTCTGAGCCTGTCGGCAAGTAGTATATGAGAACTACTTCTAAACGACAAGTGCCATCTTAGCAGTAAGTGATAAACTCTAAGCCTGTCAGCAGGTAGCATATAAGAACTATCTCTAAACAACAGGTGCTGACTTATAGCTTTGTTCTGGCTCCAGGCACTTCTTATGATCTCTTTACTGTGTTTTGAGTTCAAAAAATTTTCTAAGAAATTTTGGTACAAGTGATTGATGGGGAGAGTTTGAATCTAAACTTTTTTTCTTATAATATAAAATTAAATACTACTATAATATAATCATTATTTTTAAATATTATTAAAAAAATTTTATTTAAATATTTTAAATTTTAAAAAAAAGTAAATCATAAACAAATTTATAGCAATTTTCCAGGCAAATTTGTCTGAAATTACTTACAGTTTAAGAGATATTATAAATATTAGTTAGATATAGGAAAGATTCTATTAGCTAGAGAATAAGGCATAGTAAGTGCTATAGCTAGATATTACAAGTATATATTACAAGTGTTTTTACTAGTGCTTGGCAAAATTAAACTTTTTTTTGATACTCAAATACATGTAATGATTTGATTTTTAAATTAATACAGCAATATAGTAATGTGATAACTATAAAATACAGTATTGCTATATTGATTTAAAAGTTAGCTTGTCATATGTATTTGAATATCAAAAAAAAGTTTGATTTGCCGAGCACTAGTTTTTACAATAGTATCTCTAAGTACCTCTATAACAGTATCTCTAAGTATTTTTACAACAGTGCTTTTGAGTATCTCTACAACAGTGCCTCTGAGTAATTTTATAATAATATTTCTGAGTACCTCTTTAATAGTGCTTCCAAGTGCCTCTGCAACAATATCTCTGAGTGCTTCTATAATAGTACTTCTGAGTGTCTTTACAATAGTGTCTCTAAGTGCCTTTACAACAGTACTTCTGGGTGCCTCTATAACAGTATCTTTGCTTGCCTTCATATGGTTAAGCAATTATTTTGTTATATTTCTATTTGTAAAAAAGTTATAAAAAAGAAGCCTTTGCCTTTTCTGCTCAAGTTAGAGTTTTTCACTCTCTTATAGAATCTAGCCCCACCTCTTTACTCTTTTCTACTTGTAAAGTATAATATTTCTCTTTTAGGATAATTTTTACAAGCAAGATTATTACTGTGAATTTGTTATTAATAAATATTATTATCTATAAACTGTTATTATCTTGAACTGTTTGCCTCCTGCTATGAAGTTAAAGTATATATTTTATGTTCACATGTATATATTCATAAAGTATATTACTACACTATGTGACCTTGTTACTTTGCTATAATTATACTAAAAAGGCTATAGCATTATAACAATATATATATAATTAAAATTTTAAAATTTTAAAAACTATCTAATAAAAATAACAAATTTTTTTTATAATCTATTATAACCACTATATAGTATTTATACGTATATATTAATTTTAAAATAATATTTTTTTAAAATAATTAAAATATCTTTAATATTAAAAAAAATAATAATTAAGATATTAACCTAAGTGCAAAACTTTTTAATTACCTCATATATTTTATATTGTTTTAATAGTAAAATACAATTAGATTTTGTTTAATTTATATTTCTAAATAACAGTTATTATAGTTTTATATTATATCCAAAACATATATATATAATATTAAATATTATAATATAATTTAAAATTTTTAAATATACAGTAACATAATAATATATAATTTTATTTTTTTTATTTAAAATTAAAAAATTAATTAATTTGTAACTATAGACTATATATAACCATACTATTAAAATAATTTTTTTTTATAAAAATAAAATTTTAATATTAGAATTAAAACTAAAGTAAATTATAAAAGAAACATTTTTGCTTAATTATACAACAGAGATTATTCTAGTAAAATTTTGAAATTATAAAAATACGGCTACATTTAGCAATAGCTACAAATATATTAATTCATCAAAAGATTATTAACGTTAAATGCTTAAAAATTTAAAATTTGAAAAAAGATTTATATTTTTTAAAATAAATTAAATAAATTTTTTGCATAAATTTATATATAAAATTGAGATATGTTAACCCATTAACCTATAAGTACAGCATTCTAAACCTTTATATATGCGAGTAATATTATTTATTATTTAATAAATATATAAATATAAATACAGTAATATTAAATGAAAATAATACTGTAATACAGTATTGGCTAAATAAATAAACTATTTTACGTAACAAATAAAAAGCAAAGTTAGTTAAATTATTATTTTCAATCTAATTGGCTAATAGTTATGCTTAAATAATAAAACTTGAAATATTGGTCAAGTCAAATTTAACTTTAACCAACGATTGCAAAATAAATTACGTAACATAATAAACGATCTCTTTACATCAAAGTTATTTAAGCTTGAATATATAAAGTAATTCGAAATAACTAGAAAAACCAAAAGAAATTTAAGATTGTTCAAAAAGACCACTACTTTTAATAGTGATTAACAATGTAATTTAATGTCTTATAAAGAACCCAAAATAGAAAAGATGAGCAACTTTTTAACGAGTATGTACTGTATATATTTTATTATTTATATATATAATTTTTTTCAGGTTAAATGGAATAACCTTTAAAAAATCTTAAAAAATGTCCAACATGCAATAAACCACATCTTCGTTCTCTACCTCCAACCATCCATTCAACATCTTCGCCATCAATATATATTTCTTCATGAAAACCAATTTTCTTTCCATTTTTATAAACTTCGCCGTAATAATCAATTATGTAGGCATTTTTATTAAGTTCACTGATCGCTTGGAGTGTGATAGGTTCAACTGCTCTGCAGCTCAAAAGATTTAAGACCTTCAAGTTCAGAAATTTTTTACCGATTATCGATTCACAAGTTATGTCATTACATCCGGTAACCATTAATTCTTGAATATTTGGGCAAGAAGTAAGTATGGTGAGAATGCTACTTTCCTTCACATTCCAACACCAATCCAAATTCAACCAACAAATATTATCATGAGACATTTGTTGAAGAGCCATATCACTCAAATAAGAACATTCAGAAAGATCTAAATAGTAGAAAGAATGATTTTTGAGAGATAGACCTTTAAAAAAATAGTGAAAACTATAAATATATAAAAATAAGTTAAAAAGATTCTAAAAAAAAAAAAAACAAATAACATTATTAAAAAAGATTACACATACCCTTCATCGGTAAAGCCCAAACCTTTTCTTAACCTCAAAAATTTTAAACAAGGGTTTATATTTAATACAATATTATATAAACAATTGTCAGTTAAAGAATCGCAAAAAGACATTGAAAATAAAATCAATTTTCTACAATTTCTAAACACATTAATTATAGGATCATCATTAATTCCTTGACCATCGATTGCCAGATATTCCAAATTTTTCAAATAGCAAGATATTCTATATATACTAACATCAGTTAATCTATGACATCCATCTAAATCCAGCTTAGAAAGATTCTCACCAAAAACAGAAGAAATTAGATCAGCAATTGTAAAATCTAATAATTCACTACAATAAGAAAGGATTAAAGTGTTTAAATGAGAGGAAAGTTTAATTAAAGGTTTGATATTTGTTATTTCGTCACAGCCTTCTAAAAATAATTTTTGAAGATTTGGACAATTATTGCCTATATAAAATACGGTTTTATCAGTTATATCGTTAACTGATAAATCTAATACTATATAATTAATAAGGTAAAAGCCACAGAGTTAAGAATTTTTTAAAATGAACAAGATCAAACAATAAAAACCCTTGTGTTGATACCTCTTAACGATTGACCAGGGGGGCCCATAGCTAACTTTCTAACAAATTCGTCGTCAAGACCACTCGCTCTTGCACTTAATGAGTGCACCTTTTTTAATATTTCCAAAGCTTCATTTCCAAAACCTCTCGAGTTATAAATGATAGCCTCATGCCAAAGAATCGAAGAGTAAATTATGTTACGAAAAGCTTTTGAAACTCTAAGGATCTTGATTCTCGTTTGTTGATTTAGATATGACAAGATCAATAAAGTTATTTCATTTGGAAGAGTTGGAAACGGTCTATCAATATTGTTATTTGAAATAGTTTGTTCCATTTTTTAACAAGTAAAAAAGAGGGAAATATAAAGAGTAAAAGTTTTAAAGAAAAAAAAATTTATCGTTATGCATAATTACGATAATCGGTATGGTTAACCAGACAAAATTGATAAACCAGACATTAATGTTTATCATCATTTTTAGACAAAATTGATAATTTTTTTTACCATAGCAGTTATAAAATTCCTTAAAATTTTTCATTACGATAGTGTTGATGATGAAATGTTTTTTTAAAGATTAAAAAGAAAGAGGAAAAAAAAAATAATAATAAATTTTTTTCAAAACAAGAGAAAAAAACGGAACGGGGCTTTGCATCATGTATTCAATTAATTTATCTACCTTTTTAACGCATAAAAATAAATTGCGTTTTTCCCATTTTTATTTTAACCAATGTTTAGTCTTCATTATAGAATTAAAGACAAAGTGCAGAAAAAGCATTTACATAAATACGTTAGCAGCATAAAAGATTTCATCGATCAATCGTCCATTATAATAATAATGTAATGTAATGATGTTTATTAATCTGTAATATAATGTTTATTAATACGTATAATAATGTAAATGTAATTAAAACAATATTTGTTTAAAAACAATCAAAAATGTTATCTATTCTTTTTATTTTCATTTACGGAAATTTCATTTTCCCGATTTTTTGATTTTTTTTTTTTTTTTTTTTAATAATCAAATTAAAATATGACAAAGTTTAAAAAAAAATTTAGATTTAGCATTTAATTTATACTTGTTTTTTAATTTTTAACTCGAGACTTTAAAAAAAATTTTTGAGAAATTGATAATATCGTAATATCAGACATATGAAAAGAAATCATGGATTGGATGTTTATGCGGGCGTAATCTATCGTGTTATATAGGAATGTTTTATGTGTTGTATTATTATACTATTAAGATGATAGTTATGCAATCTTATGCGAATTTTATTAATCTAGCATATAATGAAATGTGATTTCATGAGATTTATAATCAAAAAATTTTTAAGATGTGATGTAAACATTAACTATAGGACTACTATATACGAGATTCGCGGCGAACGAGCAATGAATGAGATTTACCCTCGTGAAATAATTCTTGCAGCGTGTCAATGCACTTGTCAAAGGAACTGTCATTTCTAAAACAGCGGCGAAATCAAAGAATAAAAGAGAATTCTACCCCGCAATATTTGTCGGACTCGTGATGTGAAAATAACAAGATCTTCCGATTGCTTCTAACTGCCATGTGCAAAACATGAATTTTGGAAACGACTGAAAATGGAAAAAAATCATCATATTGTTCTTATTGTAATTCTATGATCAAAGCGAGATTTCAAGTACGTACGTACGTAGTAGATTCAGGGTCAATGCCTTGATTGTCCTTCTAAAAAAAATCTGTCATCCATACATCAGAACTACAATAATTGTCTGAAAATCCAATGCCTAATGTTGGGGGAAATGCAAGAATTATATTGTAAAAAGATAATAAAGATAACAAAAAAAAAAAAAAAAAAGATACATGTGCAGTAAACTGCGAATGGTTGACGTGGCAAAAATTTAACGCCATGGTGCAGTTCTATGATATTTCTCTTAGTGTATTTTGGTGGAAATGATTCGGGGAATGTTGTAAGTAATGTCACGAGGGAGTGATATTTGTGTAAATAGTAGGAACAATAGGCGGGAAAGTTTTATTAATTACCGCAGAGATGCCACCCTGCAGTTCCTCGTGAACTTGTCCTTTTATATAAAATCAATGAAACGGGTTTATCTAAAAAAAGATCTTAAGTTTACAAATCAACAATGCAGTAATGTTTTTTTTCTTCAAGACAATGATTTTATAAATTCCTTGACAAACGTGGAAGAATTCAATGAACTATTTTCTTGAATTCGATGCAAACCTGATTGTAATATACTTTTAAAGTAATTTTTGATTGAATTCGCCACGGAAATTCTGAATATTCTGAATCTTTTTTTTTTTTTTTTTTTTTTTCTATGTAGAATTGAAATCTTTTTTTTTATATTAAAAAAAAAATATATATATTTTATATACCTCATTTTTTATTCAAAGGGGTGGCAAAGTTATTCAATTGAATTGATAAATTTTTTGGATTGTTAATTCACATGTGGCAATTCTCTCATAATACATCGAGACAATCATTAAATTTGTTAATCTTAATTTTCTTAACGCCACAACGCCGGCCTCATAATTTTCTAACGGACTTTTGACGGCCGAACATTTATATTTCTGGTGTGTTAATGCTTTCTTATGCGGTGTGACAGTCAACTATCCGATCTCAATTTCTATTATTATTGAATGAATCCTAAAATAGATCATCAACTACGTACACCGAGATAATTCCTCTCAAGGAAAACGCCTTATATTTTTGTGGGGATGGAAGCTAATTTTTTTTTGAAAGCCTTCACAGCTCTACTGGGAAAAAGCATAAATACTCCAATATGCCGTTTATTCACATATTTCTTAGTTCATTTGCAACCATAAAAAAGCTTTCAGGCAAATTGAACGTTAACGTTAAAAAGTTATAAAAAAGTTTTTCTATATGATGGGCGAATATTATAAAACTAGTTTTCATGTTAATAGCTTGAAAAATCAGTCACGCGCTTGCGTATTCATAGATTCTAGCGATCCTACATTACCAAATCAAGTAATCAACGATGCAAGACCATTTATTAAATTACCTTTTCCCCCAACGATCGATCCGCGTGATTTAATTACCGTCCTTCCTGATGGTCGTGTTCCTACTCGTGCCCCTAATGCATTTATTATATATCGTCGTGCTTTTATTGAAGCTGCTAGGGCTGAAGGTTATAATTTTCCAATGAATGTTATTTCGTCTATGACATCACAATCATGGGAACAAGAACCACAATTTGTTAAAAATGAATATCGAAGGCTCGGTAAAGAAGCTTATAACAGACGTAATGAAATGTGCCCTGATTCAAATCAACGTAGAAAAAGAGAAAAATGGAATCTAGTATCTTTCAACAAAAAAAAATCGACTGCTCGAAAAATCAAAAAACAGATTCAAAACTCATCAAAGAAACCATCGGAAAATAAAATTCAAAAACAACTTTGCTCGATCACCACTTCAGAACTTGAACAATCTTACATTACTGATTTCGATATCGAATCTACTCAAAAAATGATGAATGATGACTCTTTGGAAATGTGTGATAATTATTATGAAAAAGAACATTTTGATTGTTGTGAACTTTATCAAAGTTCTGAACAAAGTTCTGAGCAAAGTCCCGAACAAACCTCTGAACAAAGCCCTGAACAAAACTATGAACAGAGCCCTGAACAGAGCCCTGAACAGAATCCTGAACAAAGGTCTGAACAGAGTCCTGAACAGAGCCCTGAACAAAGTTCTGAACAAAGCTTTGAACAGGAATCCAAAAATTCGAGTGACAACTCTCCAATCATTAGTAATGATCCAGGCTTTCATTATGATTACTCTTATTTTTCCGATGGTACTATCGAAGAATCACCTCTCCAAACGCCGATCCGTGAAACTTTTGAACATCAATTTGAATCTTTACCTTCATTTGACAATAATATTTATACCATTTCGAGCGATCAAAATGAACTCAATGAAATCCATAAATACACCACAGATAACGTTAATAACCAAATATCTTCAAATCCTCTTGGAATTCATAATAATTTATTCCCAGTGGAGACAAATATGTTTGTATTATCTAATTCAAACAATCTGCCTCTTATATTTGATAACGTTACGACATTATTTCAAGGCGATTTGAGAATTGATTTGCCTTGCGGGATGGATTTTGAAAGTTTTTATTATAACTACTAGATGAAAAAAAAAAAAACTCTATATTGAACTTTTTGTACATATATAAAACATACATATATATCTCTCTTTCATTTCATATTTTATCCATCTATATATATATATATATATAACCCATATATATGTATGTTTAAAAAAAAATTTTTTTTTGAGAGACAATTTGGTTTCATTTTTTTCTTATACATACTTTTTGGAATATTTTTAACGAACAATTGCCTGAGTCACATTATTTATCCCTTTTCTTCGAATCATTTCTTATTTTTTATTTTTTTTGTAGAACTGTTAATGAGCCTAGCCACCATAATTTGTGCTATTGGCTATAAATAGTTCATATATGATTATGATTAGGTATTATTTTACACTTTCGTACGATAAGATTTTTTTTTAAGATATTTGATCAGTTAAAACTGGTTAAAAAAAAAAAGAAAAAATTATGAAACGTTATTACAGTATTATGAATCGTTGGTATGAAATAACGATAATGAAATATATATATATATGTAAATTTAGTAAATTTAAGATTTAATTATACGTATTAATATCGATATGGCAAAAATACTACACAAGATTTCATAAAAAAAAAAAAAAATAAATAAATAAATAAAAAATTATGACAAACTTTTTTCTTTTCGTTATAAAATTTATCGTGGCGTAGTAGCAGTCTTTCATCTAATCAATTTTTTTTTTTTTCATGTGTAATGCACCTAAACTTAAAATTGCAAAATGCGCTCGAAACCGAATCGATTATACTAGCTCAAAAAAATAAACTGATCTTTACCATATTTAAAATGATTGTATATTTCATAATGATTCATTATTTTTATAAACGCCTAAAATAGTAATTTTCGGCCATGCATGTATGATTATTTAATTAATATCGGTATGACTCAGTTTTGATAAAATTAATTTGATTGGCTAATCTATTTTTATATATACATTCTGATCAAAAAAATTTTTTTCATCTAGATTCATATATATAATTCATATTTTTCATTATTTTTTTCATCAATTAATTTTTTTTATTTAATTCAAATGTTGTTTTTAACTCATCATTTGAATTCTCGTGCGCCAACAAATTTCTCAAAAATTGGCCGGTCTTTTCCAATTTTCCGTCGGAACTCTAGAGGTGGTTCAATCGGAGAACTCTCATTTTCAACTACCACGTCATCTAAAGCTGAACCAATACAATATACTTCTTTGCACCCTAATTTCCGTATCGTTTCACCCAATCATGTAACACCACCACCTCCACCTACTAGTATTAATTCTTCTACTACACAATCTCTTCCTCAAGTATCCATAAAACCAATTATACAATCTAGAGCTTATTCTCCACAACATTTTTACCAGAATCGAATTCTTGATCAATACGCGTCTCAACCCATAAACCCCATTACTCTTAGACAACTCATAGTGTTTGGTCGTAATTTGACTGAAGAAAGAATTATTAAAAGTGGAAATTATGTTAGAAGTGAACTTCCTATACGAATAGCTCACAGGATAAGAGATTTTCAAAATTTACCTTTCATCGTGGGAACTAATCCTCATCTTTCTATGGTATATGATCTATATTGGTCCGCATTTGAAAAATTAAGAAAATTTCCTCCTGTAAGAACTATGGAAGGAAATAATGAATGGTGTGAAACTATAAAAGGTTTATTAAAAGATCATTTAGTGGTAATTCCTAAATTAGCTATGGGTATAATGGAATGTTCGGAACATTTACCTGGAGAACAAATTGATCGATTCATGAATACAATGTTGAGATCTCGTATTTCAAGAAGAGTTTTGGCTGAACAACAAGTCGCTTTAACTGAAAATTGGCATGATCCTGGCTATTCTTATAACCAAAGTGAAAATGATGGATGGATTGGTGTTATATCAACTCAGTGTAATGCTAAAGAAATTGTGGAAAAATGTGCTAAAATGACAAGAACCTTTTTTAAAGAATATTATGATGTTGAACCACCACAAGTTCTTACCGATGGTCAAGTGGATACTACATTTGCTTACATACCAGATCATATAGAATATATTATTTATGAATTGTTAAAGAATTCTATAAAAGGTGTAATCGAGAAACATGCTCCTTCAATAATATCAACCTCTCAATCTCCATCAAAACAAATGCTTAAATCTTCTCAACTTTTTCCACCTATCACTGTGACAATATGTTCCGGTCCAACAGATATATATTTTCGTGTATCAGATCAAGGTGGTGGTATACCTGATAAATTATATCCTTATATTTGGTCATTTGCGAGTAAAAGTAATGATAAAAAAACTTTACATAAATTCACAAACTTTTCAAAAGTACCACATATGGCTGCTAGAGTAGAAGAATATGAACAACAAATTGTACCCCCCGATTTAAGCCTTGGCATTGGTCTACCAATGAGTAAAGTATATGCTGAGTACTGGGGTGGTAGTTTAAGTATTTTTAGTTTGGATGGTTATGGTGTTGATGCATATGTTAGAATTACTAAATTAGGAAATAAAATAGAAAATTTAGTTTAAATAAGTTTTATATGTAAAAAAAAAATATATATATAATACTATATACATATATATTATAAAATGTGAATTAATTATTGTCATTTTGTCAATTTGATAAGTGACTAGAATTTGAAAATTAGTCATAAGAATATAAATTTTATTTAATTCTATTTTTATAATTTATTTACACCTCGCTTAATCTACTAATGCAATGCTATAAATCATTCCTTATTGAAAAGAATATTAATCCGGAAAATATTTCAATAGTTACAGTTTGCTGTTTCCTATAATACTGTAATAGTGATATGTGATATATATTACGTAGAATAATTAATATAATTAATGCATTATTTAATAAATATGTATAAATTGAATTATTCTATTTAATAAAACGTACGTACGTACGTACTCGTGTATAAAACTGATAAAAGATAAACACTGATTAAGCGAGTGATTGAGTGATTAAGAGAGAGATTGAAATAAATTGGCTACGTTATCTAGTGAATATAAACAAATTTATTAAATTTTGCCGTTTTTTTCTCATCCAGCCCTTTTACATGTAATAAAGATGGAAACTTTAGATTCATGTTAGTATTCAATTAATAAATTTAATTTTGATTGTAGCAAAAGTATCTAAAATGCTTATTAAAACCATGTTTAAATTTTGAAATAAATAGTCAAAAGAAAACATATAAAACAAAATCGTGCTGTAATAAAGTAAGAAATTTTTTCTTTAAAAAAAAAAACAATGTAACTCATAAATATTCTTGAATATCGCGTATTTTCTTTAATAAAATAATAGGTCCAATACATTATACGCTTTACAATTACGAAAAGCAGAAGTTGAAATTTCAAGACTTTCAGTTGAAAATATTGAATTAAGGGCAACAATTGCAAAATTAACTGATCGAATTAACAAACTGAAAATTGAAAAGAATGTAAAGAGTGAGACATTTAAAGACAGCGTTATGGTACGAGAAATTTATATAACCAATGAGTTAGATTCCTTGAAAATCACGTATTTTTCAATACATAATATTTCATTATACAGACTACAAGTGGACAAATAAATGATTTAATTCTGCAACTTCGTGGGGCTGCTGATTCTTTAAACGCGTTAATGGAATCGGATTCTAGTAAACATTCTATTCGCGCAAACTTAAGTTTTAGTTCTGATGGTATACATCTACTTTTGTATCCATTTATCCGAATGGTTTCATATGAACTTAATATACCAATTGTCATTTTTGTTAAAAGATTCGGTTCTTGACCAAGATATAATTAATGATGCCGCAGAAGGAAGTTATCAATATACAACAAATAATACTCCTGAAATCAACATCGCTCTGGAGAAACTTCCTGACAAAAGAAAACCTCCTAACATGGTATTTTTTTTTACTGTAATCACATTTATTATAATATATTTACATGTACATAATTGAAATTTATAGTACTATATTGGATTTATAGCTGTCAATCTATAGAATGAAACCTAAAGTATTGCAACCGATATATGAAGAAAGTTTTTCCTCATCATCGTAAGGATATTTGATTTTAATCTTGCATATAAACTTAATGGACCATTTAATTGTCGTTTAATTGCAGAAAACAATATGGACATTCGTCTGATTCGTGTAAAGAAGATTTACAAAATGAAACTGAATCTTTATCTACTTTTGATGCAAAATCTCGAATCCCTATCGTCGTAATAAACCGACCTTTGACGGCATCCCCACCAATAGATAAATATACAAATAGACAATCAATTGATTTACCTACATGTAAAAAAGTAAATATTACATCAAAATCTGAAGAGCAAGTATCAGCCGGAAAGTCACGTTCAAAAACATATCCTAAGGATATAGGTATTGGTGTTAATAATTTTTTCAGGTCTAGTATTTATCATTATTATTTTTACTATTTCTTTTTAATATAGATGTTCCAATTGACGAAGAACAAGATGGCATTCGTCCGCGGAGGAATCATCAGAATATAAATTATGCAGAACCAAGCCTTCGCAGGTTGGTGAATCAAGTTTAATTTAATGATAATCGTATAACTCAATTTTTTTGTTTGATTTTTTACAATACAGTAAATTACGAAAGGGTGATCCATTCACCTATTCTTTTGAAGATACCATACAACAAAAGACTCCAAAGCAAAAAAGACGTAAAAAAACAACAAATGCTAAACGTGAGACTCATGATCAAAGAAAAGCTCTCTCAAATATTACTAACGGTACAATGAATTTATTTATATGCGTTGCTTACATTTTACTCAGTGCTTACAATATATTTTTGTTAAATCATAGTTGCATTATAATTATCATTTGACGAAAAATTATAAATCAGTAATTTGTATATGTCTCTTGTTTATCTTTCTTAATTACAATATCTGAAACTCGAATTGCATTTTTCCAACCTTGTGTTTCATTAATTTACAAAATAAAAAAATTTTTCTTGTGTTAATTGCGCATAAGTTTCTATACAATATCTCTCGCTATAAATTAACAATTTCTCGAAAATTAGCATCATTTTCCTCAAATTTTACTTAATTTCCATCAATCACAGCAATTTAACTTCTTTCCGCATTAGACTAAATATTTACGATGCAAAATTATCACGCTATACTTTTTTTTTAAATATATATATATATATATATATATGTATAATTACACCTTGCCTTGAGAGATCGATACAAAATCTAACCTTCTAGAATCTAGTTTCTGCCTTCATATTTAGATCGAGTATAGACAATAGCAATTGCGAAAACTGTCATTTGCAGTAGGTTGATTCTTTATCCAAACTTTTGAGATAATTGATTCTATATAGGTTTGAGATTGCATAATACTTGGAACATTTAGTTTGTGTAAGCACCATTTCTTATTTTTGTTCTTTAAAAGTTTTAATTATACTAGCAGAAGCTAATAAATTGATTTTTTTTTTGATAATTGTTCTATGATTTTTGTATAGTTTATCTTGCCTATTAAATAATAATATAAGGGAGACGGGGTATCTTACGATCTTGTGGTCGAAATTGGATCCCGTGATTAGACTTTAATGATTTTGTACTTGTTAGAATCGTCTCACTGAGACGGTCATTTTGGTAGTAAAATCATCGAAAACGGATCAGTAGAACAAAAATTATTCATTATGTCCACAATACTCTCTTTTCTCTAAAATTTAGTTTTTATATTCTGTTTGTGTACTAATTATTTATATCTAAAACTACATATAATATAAAGATTTTTTTGCAGTAATTTATTCTTTATTAAGCATAGTTCAAAAATATAAATCATATAAAAATCTATTTGTTTATTAAAATATTTTATTAGTAAAAACTTTAACCTGTCTACAATATTCCCATCTCTTTTATATTATACATTTTTTTTTTTTGGTGTTAAGGTAACCTCTTTGGCCTGGAGATCTTTATTAGGTACTTATAGTTATATACTGTATACGATTATGATAAAAGTACAACTAGCTATATACAGTATACAACTTTTGGTTATTAAATTTAAGTAGTCACTCAAAGGTTTTATACTAGCTACAGTATTATCAATAAATATGAACATAAATATGAACTGTTTATAAATATAAATATTTATGAATATGAACATATAAAAATATGAATATCCATGTCCATGAATATATAAAAATATAAACATGTTTATAAACATGGATATTAAACATTGTGTCTATAAACTATTTACGTTTAATAATTTGCTTGAATATATATCTATATACAACACTGACTAGCTATTATATTTGTAATCTAACTTGAAAATTATCTATTTAAACTTTTTGATTATAACTATTTTTAGTTGTTATTTTAAACTTATTGAGAAATTTTAATAACAAATATAAGTTAGTATATAGTGTTTAATTAATATTTATTTATTTTTTTTTTGATATTAAAGTAATCTCTATTGCTGAAAACTTTTTATTAGACAATTAATAATGGTTACAATTATGATAAGAGTATAACTAGTTACACATACAACTTTTGGTTATCTATTTAAATAGTTTGCCTAGGTTTTACACTAGCCACCATACCTGCAATCTAACTAGAAGATTACCTATTTAAGCTCTCTAGCCTTTACAGACAAGAGTATAATTAGCCATACCTGCAATTTATTTAAGTAGTTTGCTCTAGGTTTCACACTAGTTGCCATACCTGCAATCCAACTAGGAGATTACCTATTTAAACTCTTTAGTCACAACTAGTTTGTTATTCTTTGTCTAACCAAGGTATAACTTACTATTTATAGTTAAATTTTGTACTACCTATAGATTTCATACTCTACCTAGAATTACTTTATCCTTAAGGTAAACCTAACAGAGTAGAACATGTCTCACATATATATTTACCTGCATGTTCGATAACTTTTTTCTAACTAGTATCTATTGTATTACTGCTACTGGGTTTGTGTATCAAGCTATCCTTTAAAATATTGTTATAACCTGATTTGTATTTCAAACAACAACCTTCTTATATTAGTAGTCAGTTACTTACTCCTTGCTCTTGTATTTGAATTTACACAATTCCAGTATCTATATTCAAACTTTTTTTTTTTTCAGATTCTTTACTAGTCTTTTCTTTACTTTTAGCTAGCAACTCAAAAAAGTTGGTTTACCTAGACCTTAGATATCTATATAGTCTTTCTTTTCTTAGTACATGCTTTCAAAGTATATATTCTTTTTCTCTAGTTTGATAACTTGGTAGTTTAGCTAATATGTCTCTCTACTTAAGAACCTAATTGCTTAGTTCTCTGATCTTGGTTTTTGATTTCAAATTTGGACCTTCTGTAATACTATTAAAGATTGTACTACTTCCCAACTAGTGTTTAAAATTTAATATAAAAATTATATATACAAATATATTTTGTATATCTTTTTTTATCTTTTTTAGAAAATTTTATATGTATGCTTAATAAATTTTTTAAAAATTCATAGATGTGATAACTTAGTGAAGTAGTAGAGTTGTTATCTTCTAAGTAAACAAGATCTAAGATTTAATTT